GAAATCTATGAATAGTGCAACTTTTAAAACGTTGGGGGTGGTGAAACACCCCACTGCACTAGCCCAGGGTTAATTACACAGCATAGTAACAACTATTTCACCACTATCAGTGTCAACCTAGATGGTTCTACGTATATCTTCATCTCATTCTACTGCTCACCTTCCGAGGACCTAGCTCACCCTTTGGACCTACTTGCTTCCACCATCCAGCAACTTCAATATGCACCTATTCTCATTACTGGAGATTTCAATGCCAAGTCCCACACTTGGCATAGCCTGGTCGAGGATCCGAGAGGATACATGGTTGAGGAATTCATGACACAATACCAGCTAACCTTGCTTAACACCAGTACTCTGCCAACTTTCTCTTCAACCAATGGAGACAGCTGGATTGATATTTGTCTTGGCTCCAGCAAACTAATCAGCAGGATCACTCAATGCAATACCCTCGATATCCATTCAGAAAGTGACCACAATTATATTGAAACTAAGTTAGACCAGCTGACACCCATACCCAAGTACAGTCATACCCTGGACTTACGCGATAGGTGGGACCGAGCGATAACCGCGTAAGTCGAATTCGCGTAAGTCGGGGTATAATTTTGCATATAAATACATACAAATTATTTTTAATTGGGACCGGAGACTAAAGAAAACAATAATTTAGAAAAAAAATGTTTAATAAAATCTTAGATAATACATATGTATAACAAATTATATTATTATACACTTTTTCACATTAACTTGATTATCAAACCATAATTTTAACATTGTTTCCATCTCAGCGATAATACCGTGACGTTTACGAATGATGCTTGAATTTAAAGATTGAGAATTTTTTACAGCTTCGAGAATTTTTTCTTTACCTTTTATAGTTGTTCTGACCGTCGATTCCGGTAGATCAAACTTCTTTGCCAATTTACAAATTTTCATTTTTGTATCGAAGTCTTTAATAATGTTAACTTTACATTCCAAAGATAAAGTTTTTCTTTTCTTGTTTGATGCAGAAGAATCAGTTCTACTTCGTTTGGATGACATAGTAGAGTGTTAAGATTAATCGTATTCGTTATTGTAAAATGTGCTTAAGTTAGGCGCCATCTGTTCATTTCTTTTGTATGTCCGACGATCAAAAGACCGCTTGAGATCGAGTCTGTTTATAATTTGAAAGGTAATCTTGTCAGTTGTATATACAAAAGGTAAATTGTTTACAAAATGAGTCTTTGTTTATTATCTGATAAATGTATACTTTTTTCGTCAATTGTTTACGATTGCAGATGCCTTTTGTGTAAAATCCAAGTCGGATGTATGAAAGCTAATAAATGTTCTCGTTAATCTTATCTCATCTTTTGGTTCGTTCACGGTTACAAGAAATCACCACATAGAGTCTCTCGAGTCTCCGTAGATATAAAAAACAGAAATAAATTACACAAAATAAATTGTAGCTATGCGTCGATTCCGCGCGACACATCCGAACATGTAAGCTGAACAATAGTGTAGGGAGAGTGAGTAATCAAGGGTTGCATGGCGCTCAAACAAAAGATGAATCCACGAGATTTGAAAATCGCGTAACTCCGGGTCGTTCAAGTCGGGGTATGACTGTACTGTATATCCCAGAGTACAAACTGGGATCTTTTCTACCAACTTATACAGCTAAACTGGAATCCTGGTGACATTGTCAACATTACGGACAGAGCAGGCATTGATAAGGTGGTCAACGAACTACATAATGTAATACAACGAGCCTACTCTCAGTCCACCACTGTAAAGACGGTCAAATGTACTGCCCCATGGTGGAATAAGGACCTTACTAACCAAAGGAACACTCTGAGGAAAGTGAAAAAGAGGCTTCGGAAAGAACATGACCTCAATAAAAAGCAAGAAATCCGCAATGAGTATACTACCCTCTTTAAAAATTACAAAACTGCCATTAATAAGGCGAGATCTCAGGCTTGGAAAGACTTCTGTTCCAAAGTTGGAAACAAGAACCTATGGAGTACTCCCTATTATGTGGTCACTGGAAAAAAGAAAAAATTACAGATTCCACCTTCTATCAGGATTAACAACGATGAATACGCTAGCTCTATCACTGAGACCTACAGACATATCATTCATGAGCTGTTCCCAGATGATCGACTCGACCAAGACGATCAATATCATAAGGACATCAGGGCCAACATCGAAAAAGACTATCACACTATAAATGATACACCATTCACTATGCTGGAGATTGACAGAGAATTCCGGAGGTTAAAACTGAAGAAAGCCCCAGGCCCAGACTATATTACTGCCAAGATGGCCAAGAATGCATTCCTGGCAATTCCTACAACCTTTTGTACTCTGTTCAACAAGTGTCTTGACATCCACTACTTTCCTACTGCCTGGAAAAGGGCATCCATAAGAGTAAGGGGACTACCCCCACTACTGCTTCGGATTTTAGGTTCATCTTGCTGCTCTCTGTTATTGGCAAAGTCCTGGATGCCCTTCTCATCAACCGCATAATTTTTCATTACGAGCATAACAACATCATGTGTGACAGGCAGTATGGTTTTAGAAAGGGCAAAAGTACAGTAGGAGCGATAGACAATATTAAGACCCAGATTCTTAAAGCTAGGAAGGAAGGCAAACACAGTATCATGGTCACTACAGATTTCAAAGGTGCGTTTGACCATGCCTGGTGGCCAGCCATACTTCATAACTTTAGGAACGACAAGTGCCCCAGTAATCTGTATTGGCTGATGGCAAGCTATCTCTGAGACAGAAGTATCCTGGTGGATTCCGATAGTAATACCCACCACCAAAAGAACATCAATAGGGGTTGCCCGCAGGGTTCCAGGTCAGGTCTGTACCTCTGGAATATTCTTTACAACAGTCTGCTCAAACTACAACTCAATTTACACAGCGATCCCCAGGCTCTTCTCCATGGGTACGCCGATGACACGGTTCTCTTGCTCAGTCATGTCAACCATGAAGTACTGCAAGATAAGATAAACCAGACTCTCTCAATAATATCTGATTGGTGTGAGAAGAATAAGCTCCTAATTAATCACGAAAAATGTCATGCCATTGTTTTCCCTAAAGGCAACATTTTGAAGAAGGGCTTCAGTATCAAGATTAATAATAGAAAGATTAAAAATTCCACTGCTGTAAAATACCTAGGTATTATGATGGACCAAAAGCTGAACTGGACAGAGCACATGCGCTATATCTATGGAAAGGCTGTTAAAGTGGTCCAGGCTCTTAAAACTATCTGCAGGAACTACTGGGGCTATGGTCCTACTACAAGCAGAATTCTTTACACTACGGTGATTGAGCCCATGGTTACATATGGTTCAGAGATGTGGGGCTCCTCCATCTCCAGGGTCCATATTAGGAGGAAACTTCTATCGATCCAAAGATTCCTAGCGATAAACATAGCCAAGTCCTGTAAAACTGCCCCGACTGAAGCCCTGCTTGTTATAAACCATACTCTTCCTATTGATTTGAAAATCTGGGAAATCTACATCAATTACAACATGAGTAAGTTGGCCAATAAGCAAATCGACGGGGTCACTTTCCAAGACATTGTTGCCAAGAACCCTTTTTCAGAGGATCTCTGTTCTCTTGTCAACTTAATTGTTACCAATGGCTTAGACAAATGTCTCAACTATCACCCTTGTTCATCCCAGCTTCACTCTCACAGACTTCCGCATGCCTAGCCATAGCGTTAACCAGTCTATTAGCATCTACACTGATGGGTCCAAATCTGACCTTGGTGTAGGCTGTGCTATGGTTATTCTCAAGGGAAACCACTGCATCCTTCAGTCGTGCAAGAAGTTAGCCCCACACTGCACTATTAACCAGGCGGAGTCCCTGGCTATCTTCAACGCTTTCACCTGGATTGACAACAACTACCACAATTGGCTCCAGCACAGATTCTGCATTCTGAGTGATAGCCGAACTGCTATTCAACAAATTGCAAAGGCCATCTCCACCCTCCCAATTGTGAAAGACTGTATTCACATTTTCCAACGGCTCAGGAGCAGGCTCATTATGATAGATCTTCAGTGGGTCAAGGGTCATGCAGGGAATGAGGGCAATGACAGGGCAGACCTTCTTGCCCGCATTGCTTCCTCAAGGGTCTCCAACTTTTCTTACAACAGGATTAGTATTAAACACCTTTGCAAGCTCATCCATGATATCACCTTAAAAATTTGGAAATTTGGAAATTCAGATGGGACAACTGTGAAACAGGCAGGCTTACTCATAGCTTCCTTCCCACCCCAACTGACAGCTCGCTCAACCTCTTATTCCCTTCTTTTCAAGTAACCCAGCTCCTTACTGGGCATGGGAACGTGAATATGTATCTCAAGAGGTTTCTCCAAAAGACTAACGGACTATGTGACTGCAATATGAATGAAGAGGAAGATCCTCTACACATCATTTTCCTTTGCCCACTTTATTCGTTGCAACGCAAAAAGCTTGCAAGCATTATCTACAACAACGGCTTTCATTGGCCATGCAAGCTCAGTGACTTTACTTGTGTAAAGAATAACTTTATTGCTTTGAAACATTTTGCAGCTGACATCTGGAAATTGGACTAACAGGTTACAACCTCCACGTTAGCGGACATTGGACTATCTCTGTTGTAACCCTCGCTCGGTTCTCAACCACTCTGCATTATTGTTTCGCATCCTAGTGTATTTCTGTGTTTCAGCACCCTAGTTGTATGTTCCTCACGCTGTTTTGTCCACGTCGACTTCTAAGCTGTTCTCTATTGTTCTCCGCGTTGTTCACAGACATATGTCAGACAGCTTCATCTGTACCCATGTTTTGTGTGATGTATTTCTCATTTCCTATTATTGTACTTTATTTACTCGCTGTATTCTGTTTATCGTGCCATCCATCTCTGTTATATTTGTACCTTTTGTTCATTTTATTGTATAATTTCATACTATTTGTACTGTATTTTAAAATTTTTAATAAATGCGATGCGGGGCGCCCACGGGTCCCATGACCCCAGGTTACTACTTTCCAGCTATCCTATCTCACTTTACTTCCTCTTCAGTCTAACCTCTTCACAACCAACTTTATATCTTCCTCCTTTTCTCGTCTACCAGGCTATACCTATGAGTCAGGCCTTGGTCCTTTTCCTAAGTATAAGTGAGTGTAAATAGATTTTTTGGTTGAAATGGAAGTAATTGTACTTGGTGACGAAGGTGAGCACATCACGTATATCAAGCACCTGTTGGATGTTAAAGCCCTTTTTTAGAAGCAGAGAATTAGCCAGCATTACGGCCTCAAAGGTGGGCACTGAAGGATATAAAGATATTACATCTAGCTTGTGGAAGGTGTAGGTGGTTGGCCATAGTGCACCAATACTTGAAGTGATGGTGGATTTAGCAATTACAAAAGAGGGAGTAACATATGGTGAGTCTGGAACTATTGCATGAAGGAATTTAGCAAGCGCTTTTTCTAAATAATAGGTAGGATGAGATTGTTTGTTTACCAGCGGACATAACGGCCAGTTTGTCTTATGGGTTTTTGGTTGAAAAAACAACCTAGGACACACAACATTGGAGGGGGGGATCAAGTGACCCAGTTAGAGTTGAGGAAACACCTGATAAGGCAATGATTCTTCTTGCCTTCCTTAATACCATCGGAGTAGGATTCTCACTCATCTCCGAGGAATGTGACTGCGTTAGAAATTCGTTGGCCCTGGTTAAAAAGTCATTCTCTCTGCACGGCACAAACCTCCAGTCCTTGTCAGAGAATAGGAGTCTCAAGTTGGCTTTGGCAAGGAAGTGTTCTACCACTCGACGGTCCACAAAACCATTGGGCTTGCCGGATCTTTGTTTTGCCATAGCAAGCTTCGTAATTACGGACAATTCCATTTGCAAACATGTAGGGTCCTTCTGGCAGAACTTGAGTGCTGCTAACATAGCCGGGATCAACTGGGAAAAGGTGGTGTTGGCAGGCAGGATGTACTGTACTTAGGACCCCATTGTAGAATTTTATGCATTGCGTTAGGCACGTTTTTATCCGTATAGTTGTAATATGGGATATTCAACTCCACTTTGCTTTGTTTATATGACAAATGTGTTAACCACTGGAGCTTATTGTTCAAGTTCTTTTCTAATGTCTGGCCAGAATAGAATGCTATACTCTGTATTTTACCCAGCTGCTCGTAGAGTAAAGCTGGATCACAAGCTTTAGTGAACTGAATGTGTGTTGCATAGAGGTTGAGCTCCACCTCTGCAAGGTACTTTCATTTGTTCCTAATCAGCTTTGCGAGGAGAGACTTTTCCACACTCGGAAGAAACCATCATAGACATGGTGGAAAGGCCTTGTATTTAAGAGAAATAGACCTAGGTACAACCTTTTGTGTTCTGCAGCTTAACAGAAAGTGTAGTTGGGCAAGCAGTTTGTGTCACTGTTTCTTTAGCTTCAGCAAGGTGTAGAAGAGGTTTTTTGCAAGGTGTTTGTGCCACTGTTTCTTTAGCTTCAGCAAGGTGTAGAAGAGGTTAATTAGTAGTTGTTGACCATCCTCTCTTTTAGGAGGAGGTCAACTACTACTGGTCAAATTAACTTTAACCCCCTTTTGCAACAAGTTGGAAGAGTATTTGTTTAAAAATGATTTATAAGAGGGACAGTTGTTCAGATACTTTGAATTATCCTCTAATATCATTAATTAATAAGTGTAATCAGAAAATTTTCTCCTCGTTATTGGTTAATCGTTTGAAGCTTCGGCTTGATTGTTTTCATATTATATCTTATAGTCTTTTGTAGTAAATAGAGGCATGGGATATAATCCACTTTTTTTCTTGGAATTTTGCAACGTGTTTTATCTAAAAAACATAGTAAACTTTGTTGGATTTATTGATCTGTCAAAAGCATTTTTGACTCAATTGACCATGATATTTTATGGTTGAATCTTTTTCAGATAGGTATCTCTTCTTTTATTAATCTTCTAAGACAATTGTTTTCTAGTACTGCTTATCAAATTGAAGTTAATCATTGTATTTCAGAGTAGGTAATTTCTAATAAATGTATAATAATCAGATATATCGGAATATATTGATTATGGGTGTAAGAAAACAAAAACGAATGAGGACTGTACAATGGCACTTTGAATGAAATTTGCTTTTAATAACAATTCGTAATTCATTCCATTATCGGTCTGCCTTACAAAGATGGGTAGATATTGTGAATACAAAGAGAAAAAAAAACTTACTTCTAAATTCTAAGCTAAAATGACTTAATTCTATATACAATCATTTACATGGTGGTACACACGTGTTGCTACTATACTCCTTTGTTCTCAGTCCGATCTCCTTGCGTGTCTCTGCTCGCTCGTCTGTCCGTCCGTCCTTGTAGCACCAATCCAACACGAAAAGAGAGAGAGAGAGTGCTTGCACACACGAGACAGTCTCCTTTTATACCCCTCTTCACGTGACCTTTTGTTCTCCACCAATCAGTCCGCACCCCCCTTGCGCAGCAATAGGAGTGACCCGACATAGTCTTCCGTGTACAATCACACCAAGAAAACAAAACATAGTTCTTGACACGTGGAAATTCATTTACACAAATTATAATAAAATGGAAGAGTACATAAATAAAAAACCAAAGTAGTGTAGCACTACATAAAGGTTTCCCTCAAGGCGAACCTCTTAACCCCAGTCTTTTTAATTTATTTGTCAATAATCTTCCAAATTTTTTTTCAGTCATAATACTATGGTCACCATTGATTGAACTGAATTGTCTTTTGTTTGCTGATGATATTGCAGTACTTTCTTAATCTCCTATTGGTCTTCAGTGGAAACTCAACCTTTTACAGGATTATTGTGGGACTAATAGATTTAATCTTATTAATACATAATCTAAGGTAATGATTTTTCGAAGAGGATTAGGCGATAAATTCTATTTATTCAATTCTCAGTTGGAAGTGGCGTCGTCCTATAAATATTTAGGTGTTTACTTGCAGGTCTCATTTCCATTTAGACAAAGTAATTATAAAGTTTAAACTTAAACTTGTTAATTTAATAAAACTTAACAGAAGATTGTTTCATTCTGATCATAAGTCATTTTTTTGACTGTTTGATTCCTTGATATGGTCAAGTTTGGGTTTTGTGTGTTCTGTTTGGGTCTGTGTCTTGTTGACGGACTGGAGAAGACTCAATTGGGATTCATTAGATTTATTTTTCATCTTTTTAATTGTTTGGTGCCTGGACCTGTTTTTAGATCTGAAATGTGTAGACAGCCATTGGATATAAGTTTAACTATTGCTATTTTTTGTTACTGGATTAGGATTCTACTGGTTCAGGATTCTAGAGCTGATATAGTTGGATCTCAGGAACTTGGTATATAACAAATTAAAATTAGTAAGCACTAATTCTTTGATTATAACTTGGTTTTCCTCAGTGGCATCTTTATTGTACTGTATAATTTAGGATTTTTATCTATTTATTGTACTCACTTTTCCAATAAAAGGTTTTTGTTGGTTGAACTTCAACAGTCTTTGAGAGAGAAATATTGGACTGAAGATACGCTTTACATAGATCAGAAGTATAGTTTGTTGGAAAATTCTTTAGTTTTTCCATGGACATCTCAAAGTCAAAGTCAAAATCATGTTTGTTATTAAATTTAAATTATAAGATTAAATCTTTGATAATACGACTGTGACTTAATAAATATAACAAGAAAAAAACACCTTTAAAATTCCAGCAAATAAATTTACTAATAAAAACGTTTTTGATCGGTTTAAATTTAAAAATAAATGATAAACCATAATTATAAAATAAATACTGTACATAAATAAAATAAACAATGAAAAGTAAAAATAGACAAATAAATGTTCCTTAATAAAATTAACTTTCATAAAAAGATTGTCATGCAGTAGCCAAGTTGTCGGCGTCTCTATGGTTGATGCAACCGGATTTTTTGTGTGCTTTAAAAATCTCTAATCTTTCCAGATATCTCATAGTATTTATATTTGATGTTTGATGATCAACGCCTGCTCCCATTGCACCTGAATGTCCCAATGTTGTGCATAAGCTGCCAGCGTCATGCTATTGAGATTTTTATCAATTGTATACTTATGTTCTTTGAGCTGTTGTAAGTTGTGCATATGTAGACCAGTTTTGATTTGAAACGTTGGTTGATTAACAGGATGGAGTAAATCC